TCAAGAAAGATTCCCAATGGCCGCTTTAGCAATTGGTTTGCCATAGCTTCGGCAACAATTGGATAAAAATGTCCACGACAAAGAAGGATGGATAGATAAAGTGGCAGGATATATTCGATAGGACAACGGTATGGATTCTCTAGTTAAGATTTTGAAACGACTGTTTCACCGTAACCTGCAGCCAGTGGGGTTAGTGTGGGCTCTTAACCGGTTCATAGCCTTGAAAAARGTAAAGACTAAATGTATATTACTTATTTATCTGGTATTAAAGCTTATCTATAGATAAGCTATATAGGCAGGTATAGAGAATATATGATATTAGATACAATAAACAAATATTAATAGCATCAATGGTGGTTTACAAAACACAGTAAATATATAATCAAAATTACGTTTATACTATAATGTTTAATCTATATAGAGATTACTTATGGAAAATGCTTGTACGGTTTTTATGCACGGGTTGAGAAGTACTCGTGCATAAAAATCGTACAAGCATTTTCCATTCTGTACTGAGATTTCAGAAAGCAAAATTAAAAAAAGCTAATATAATTGTTGTTTACAGACCGGGCGAACATCAGTATCGAGTGATAAGCTTATTGACTAAAATCCTACAATCAACAATCAACTGACACTGTAAGAAAAAAATGTTTTAATAAATAAACTGGATTTAATTTTGAATTAAAAATATAAGCTTAATCTACTTTACAAATTGAAGTTAGAAAGTTTTGCAATTGAATTGAATTTTTGTCAAAACAGTATGATGCATGTTAAAATAATGATATGATCAAAATACTTGAACAAGAAATGCATACTAAAACTACCTTAGTTATGAAAATTACTCATCATCAGAGTCACTTTGATTTCTTATCYTATTCCCCTGTTTTGGGTTTTCGTAGAGCRGAGTAAGTGTGGAGACTGATTTACAGCGTTTATTGTAACTGAGACTGTCCACCATGAATTACGGTGTTTGAAAACAATGCAYTGCAGCTCGTTGTCCAGAGTTCATAAACTTYTCATCTTTTCAGGTCTTTTCAAAGGCTTTGTAGACTGCCACTGGATCCTTTTCGCTTCCATCCTGTCGAAAACATTTTAGGTGGAAAGAGTCAAACATCACGTGGGTTCATGCCAGTGCGTGTTTTAGTTTGGCGCTCGTTGAACTCCAAGTACTCAGTGACGCTTTCATTCTTGCATAGAAACCTCAGGCTTAATAAGGAGACATCTCTTACCGTCTTCTTAACAGTGCTTGTATTTTCTTGTTCTTGTGAACGACTCTATAGTATTTTTGAGTGACACAAAATCTGCTTTCTCCAGCCATTTTCAGTCGGCTCTCAAGTCTCAAAGGGGACAGGCGACAGCTTGTTGACAGTCGGAGCCTTCGTCGCTCTCGCTTCTGATGCGTTTTTCACCCAATATTGGCATGCTCAATAAAAACTCATGCCACTTTCYCCCACTCTTCCATTTCCATATCAAATTTTACTCTTTATGAACCCGTTATCGAGAATACAAGATATTATAATCTCATCAATGGCGGTTTGCAAATATCATAGAAAATTAAGGAAAACATAGTAATATAAAATGAAAAAAAATACGTTAGATGTCAGAATGTACAGAATACTTTACTGATCCTATTCTCGNNNTTCGCAAATGATTTATCAATAACGTGATATTAGGTAGTATAATCAAAACATTAAGGTTCCAAAGTATAGCACTGAGATGTTAATTTKTATGATAATGATCATTTGTTAGTGTCAATTCATTTGATTATAGGATATAGAATAATTAAGTTTGAATGTATCTAAAATCCAAAAGTTTCCTCATTTATTTTTTACTCATTATTATTTTGTTGAATCTTTATTTTTGTGAATCTTTATTTTTGTGATCTGTTCCGTGCGCAGTCATACGAAATCCGCTCGAATACATCACCGTCACGTCACAGTACGTTCATGACGCGAAAGAGACGTGCTTTTTGCACAAACATCGAGATACGCTTTATTCCCAGTTTAGAACTAATCATATCCATACATAATTCGTCCTTCATCCGGCATATTTTCCGCCATATCCGATGAGTACTTTTCGATTGGATGAAATACTAAATTTAACTCATTCCTGTGCGTTCATATGCTAATGCACAACGTCACGCGGTACGTGCGAAAGAGGCGTGCTTTTTGCACAGTATTTAAGTTTTGGAAATTTAATATATAACTGAAATAATATACTGTAATTCAAATGATTTAATATAAATAATGCAACTTAACATATAAGAGTTTTTATAAATTCTCTTTCAAGAGCACATGTTAATCGGCATGATCATTGTTTATGGGCTGAACGTTTCCATGACAAGCACGACATCAAAATACAAATATTATATTAAAACAGAGGTTTGTGATATCATGTAAACTGCACTGAGTCAGAGGTACTGTTATTTTCCTCGAGAATATTCTCTGGTTCCTTGTATAACGATCAGCGTAAAATTAGGCCAGTTTTGCTATTCCCTCATACTCATTAGGACTCATTCTGGATCTTTTCAGCCAATCAGAGATCGTTATTTGTACTTCATGCTGTTCAATTTCAATCTATTTATAAAATATAAAAACTCTAACTTATAAATGTACAAAAACATTGCACTTGAAAGACGTCAGCCTTTCCTGGAATCAGTATCAGAAAACTATTCGAAACCCTTTTGAGTCTGCTTAAGTATGTTCAGAGTTCGTATGGTAACTCCAAAAGCATTTGCCCTCAAAGACTATATGTTGAGGGCAATGGTTGGAGAGAATTGGAAGCCGGGGATTAACGATATCGACAATTTGTTGGCGTGCGATCCTACTGGCGTCTTTGTTGGCGAGCTGAATGGCAGACCAATAGGCTTCGCGAGTTTCCTTAAGTACACAGAAAGTTACTGTGCCGCAGGAAGCTTTTATCTAGAAAAAGAGTATCGAGGTCTTAGTTATGGTAAGAAGCTAWTTAMCAATGKAYTAGAGAGGCTATCACCTTCATGTAACATATCAGGGTATTCATTAATGAATGTGGTGGATCTCAACAGGAAATTGCAGGGAATGCATCCCTTCTGGCTCACGCCATTTTTTGAGCTTGATCTCCCAAGAGCTTATTCTGTTCTTGACTCTTGTACAATTCTTTCGAAGCATCAAATGTGCACTGTTCGTGAGGTCGATTTTCAAGCTTTGACTAAGTATGACACGTCAGTGTTTGGATACCCAAGACAAACCTTCTTGCATCAATGGCTGCACACTCCAGGCAGTCATGTACGAGTTGCTGTAAGTCACGAGGGGAATATATCTGGCTATGCAGCAAGTAGAGTCACTTTTAACAGACAAGGATATCGACTGGGACCTCTTTACGCAAACTCGATGGAAATTGCCGAGGGTTTAATGAAAGCAATATTTCAAGAAATGCTAGACGAGGGATGGTCGTCTTCCTCATCGGTCTATATCGTCTGCCCAATAGGTATCAATCATGATGCAAAAATACTAATGGAGAGACTCAAGGCCAAGGTTTGCTTCGATTCAGTCC